AAAAAAGTAATGCCCACGATAATTTTGTAAACAGGTTACTACTTTATTGATTCTATAACAGGTTCCACTAGAACCTTAGCTGCCTTATTTTAAAGTGTTTACTATGGCATTAAAACTATAGAAATCAATGTTAACAAAACATTTGACTTTTGGTCGATGAAATTAATTTCTAAGTCACCGTTTGCAGACTAGAGAAATGGGGGAGTGGGTTTTCCCGTAAACCGTATACGATTTTTCATTTATATTGTTTATAGGGTAGCGAGTGTATATATGGGAGGTAGGGTACAAATAAATTATTTTTAAATATCGCAAATTTATGTTTTTTAGCTTTTGATTTTTCTTACACTGTTGAATCACACAAACAACTGTAGCAAAAGAAATATACAATTAGGGGTTATTGTTGTTTTATAGAAGAACAGGTTTTTTTTATACCCTACACCACTTTAGTGGGGAGGGTATATTGGGTTTGTGCTGATGTTTGTAACGCACAATAATATTGGTCCTATACCCACCTTAAAGTATACCAATCGGCTCAGAATCATTTTCTGAGTCGATTTAGCTCCGTCCGTCCGTCCGTGTAAACCTTGTAATCAAACTACAGGTCGCAATTTTGAAGATAATTCAATGAAATTTGGTACATGATCTTCTATTGTCGCAGAGACGAAGCCTATTGAAAATGGTTAAGATCGGTCCATTATTTCACCTAGCCTCCATACAACTGAACCCCCTAATAGTGCTTGTAATCCTTGTAATCAAACTACAGGTCGCAATTTTGGAGATAATTCAATGAAATTTGACACATGATCTTTTATGATCTGATTCCAAAACGAACTAAAATAATATTATTGTAAAACCCCATGATTTTGAACATATTATTGTATTGCCATCAGATGTACTTATGAAATTTGGCAGTCTTAAATTTTTTTCATTAGAATGCTTAATTAAAAATTCCCATGTATGTAAATAAAACAAAAAAAATAAAACAATCACCAAATGTATTGACTTCCAGTATACTGGTGGTAATTGGATTAAGGGCAATTAGCATAATAATGAATAAAAAAGTTTTAATAGAAATTAAATTAATATTATTGATCTAAACATTCCGGGCCCTTGCGGTTACGCAAAAGCCACAAAAGGGTGGAGTGTCTATTCCAATTAAGAGAATTTCATATGGCAAATTAGAATCAGAAAATATATGTTTAAAAATTCAAAAGTTTACATATAGTTTAGAGACCATACGAAATCTGAAAAATATTTGCATATAAAAACAAACTTAAAGATTCAATCATATAGTAGGAGATACAAAGTAAATACGATTTGTTTATAGAATCAGCAGTATCACTAAAGATTACAGCAACCTTATATATACCGATTTTTGTATTGTTTGGACCTTATTTGACCCCATGCAAATCCTCCTTTAGAAATCTACTTTAATTCCATAATTCTCTTAATTACATCAATATCACGATGATATATATATATATATATATATATATATATATATATATATATATTAGGCTTCAAGCAATATTTTTGAAATTGTGATATCATACCTTTTATGAAAATTTTTGGAACAGCGCTAATATTGGCGATTTTCTTATATAAACAGTCTGCAAAACAGGTTAGTTAAACATCGTATATATCATTATAAAGGCCTCAGCTTCCACTTCCCTTGAAAATAGGTTGAGATTCAACTAAGTTACTTATTTATAAGTGTAAAACCTTAGATAGTATTTATTTTACTTTATAATAAGATCAAATATTTCATAAGTAAATCAACTAATACTGTTTACTAAAAAATTTTAAACATGTATTAAATATAAAATATAAGGAGCAGCCATATTGTAAAAATTGCAATGGCAGTAGTAGTTCGACTGTTCTGTGCGTGCGCTACTAAGACACAAAAATATATTTTGATTGTTTTACAATGTTTTGTGCCTGCTAACAAAAATTGCAAACAGAACAAATATTTCTAGTAGTAAAGTGATGGAAAAATTGTGTGCTATTGTTGCATATTTATACGCTTATTTTGAATACATTATAATTAAAATGTATTCAAAATTTTTAGAAATTCAGGATTTTGGTTAATTACCAGACACACACTCTAATTTTGATTGCAGTCGGATGTAGACGTTTTTACGTTTTAGTTTTTAGTTTTTAAATTTAAAAATTTTCATAGACTATTCATAGTCCCATAGACTATTCATAGTCCCATAGTTCCGATACGCTGTATAAAACAAAGCACTATGAGGCAAAGACGACCCTGACTATTTTGCAAAAGTTACAAAACATTTTAAAATTATCCAGCAATTCACAAACCCTGATTGTAATCATGTAATAATATTTTGTTTTTATTTTTTATATTTCAGCGAATAATACTGAATCCAATCAAACAACTCAGCTTTTACATATACTAAATAGCTCATTTGCTTATCCAACTGCGTCTCCAACGCCTTCCGTGGACGAAAAAGTACCTGAAGAACCCATAGCCCTATTAAAGGTATGTACTATGAAGTATAATTTTTGGCAAAATATTTATGAACTGTCAATACCCAATGCAAAGTAGTTTATAACCTTTTTTTAATAAATCAGTGTCTAAGAAACTGTTGTAAATATCGTAACGACGCACAAAGGGTTGAATTTGGGAAAAATGGAGATTAATTGAAAAAGTAAAATTAGTTTCTTTGAAAATTTCTTTTTACTAGATTAAAGAGTACAAAATTCTACATCACTAGTAAAAATGTCAATGTCATATGTTGTTGAATTTTTCTGCTACATAGTTTTAAAGTTGCGAAAGATTTCTTGTTTTTGTAAAAAGAAATAATTTAAATTCGGACTATTTTGAAACTTTATAACCTTTTTGAATACTTTAAAAGTGATATTTTTGTTATGGAATCATGAACTTCAGTCAATTGGGTGTGATCGAAAAAAAGAATGGATTAAAAACAAGTAAGAGTGCTATATTCGGCTGTGCCGAATCTTATATACCCTTCACCATAGTGTATTTAAAAAATATCAATTTTATAAAATTTAAATTTATTTCATTTTCCCGACAATATCATTATTATAGTAATAGCTACACAAAATAAACAACAACAACGCTAAACGAAATAAACACACAAAACACACACAAGGAAGTAAAACCAACAGACATCCAAAGTTTGGATTCCAAACATACGAAACGAAGTACACAAAAAACAAAATACACAACGCAATGAAACCAACAGACATCCAAACATACGAATACACCAAGAAACAAAAACAATATACACATGGCAATGAAACACACCATTCAAATATACGAAACGAAATAATCAAAAAAACAAAATACACAACGCAATGAATATGCTGTGTTGTTGTTGCTATATATTTCCGTTGTTTATGAACGGATTTTGCTGATTTTAAATAGAAAACTTCTCCAAAGCATGCCTGATAGAATTATTGAAGATTTGGATCCCGAAGATATCTGGGGTCTTCAGAAAACTGATTTCAACAGACAGACGGACATGGCATAATCGACTCCGCTATCTATAAGGATTCAGAATATATATACTTTATAGGGTCGAAAATTATATTTTGGAAATTACAAACGGATTGACAAACTTATATATGAAGGGTATAAAAATATTGAAAATATTTTCATTATTTTTTCTTAAATATGTCAATTTTTGCGCTATTTTTGAAATATAACATTGGGTAAAAATTTAAATTTTGTATTAAACTACAATATCTTGGCTTTAATAAGCAGAAAAAAAGTTTCGCGCGTTTTTGCGCGAATCACTTTTATTAAATAAATTGTAAAAATAGTCACTCATTAAAAACCAAATTTTATTCTCTTAATTTGATTATCATCGTTTTCATTGTTATGATTGTTATTGTTGTACGGAATTTTAATTCAGTTTTGATTTATGTTTACAACAGAGACGAGCAAAACCACTCACGTGATTATGGTGAATTACGCATGATCTCAAATTATCGTGATTTTTTACTTTTTTTTGTATTCATTCCCGTGGTCGTAATCAAGGTGAGTCATAAATATATTGACGTGGGAATTTCGCAGACCGATTAATGACCATGTTTAATTTTTTTTATATTCTACTATCCTTACATGGTCGTGGGTAAAAGGTTCTTACGATCCCAACTCTAGTTTAGACCAGCCAAGCGCAGAAAGAGAGACGCGAAGAAACTGTTATTGTAGTGGCGAGAAAATACTAAAAAAACACTTAGAAAAAATATTGCCTAATTACGCTTGTTGTGATCAAATTTCATAACAAGGAAAATAGTAAATTTTACAGATAAAACATATTCAAAGAAAAGAAAAATATATATTTCTTCACAAAGATAAAGTTTTTTATTTAAAATGTGTAAAAAAAGTATTAAAAATACTGTTTTTATGTGTTTTCATTCTTATGCATTAGTAAAATTGTTTTGGAGTGTACGAGTTTTTTGCAAGTAATTCTCTTGTTTACAAATTGTGTTGTTGTTTTTACAAATTGTTTTTGCAATTTTTGAAACAAAGCGACATCTACCTACATTGTTGAATGCTGTTAAGCAACTGAAGATCATTTTTTGTATTTTTACGCTCTTGCTATGAGTTTTGTTTACGATCGGGTAGTGTACGTGTGAATTGCCGAAAATCTTCGTAATTTGAACAATATGAACGCGCAACGCTGGTTTAGACAAAGCATTAGAAGCTGGTTTTTATTACTTAGTTTATCCTAATCAGCACTATTTGTACATTAGTGTTCATGTTCCTAAATAATAGGGAACTTAGAGATTAGGAACTTTATAGCCTCGGATCCAGTTATGTCTGGTAAAAGCAATTTATATGAAAGGAAAAACTCATCCTTCTTCCAATAGACAATGACACATCAGAAGGCGAAAATATTTCAGATGAAGAATAGTTATGAGGTGGCTTATGAAGAGGAGTATAATAATTTTTGGCACCATGGGGAATATTATAATAAATAATTTTAATAACACATTTTTAATAACATATTTAAAAAATTTGTTAGTTATAGCTACTTATTTCCAAATTAAAGCAAATTGATAAGTCGTGCTCATATTCAATAAAAGTGTCAAATAAGCCAGAAACAAATATTTATTATTTTTTTTTATAAAATGGTTTTGTTTTGAATGTAGTATGATCTATTTATCAAAAAAAATATAAAAATTTATTTCGTTAAGTTTTTCAAAAATGTTGTAAAATTATTGAAATCGATCTTAACCCAAATTTTGAACTTTAAGTAATTTTTTTCTATATATATATACAATACTGGGTTTATTTTTTATTTTTCAAATAGTACAAAGTATATACCTTCATTTCCAAAAAGCTACAGCGAAAATTCTACATCAAGTAATTATTTTCCGAAAAACAAAAAAGCCAGTAAAAGCTTACAAAATTTTTTTTGTTTTTTTTTTTTTTATTATAAAAATGTGTATTTTTATGTGTTTTAACATATCGATGAACAATAAGTTAAAATTAAAGCTCCCCTGAATTAATCTCCATTTTCCACATTTTCAACCCTCTGTGCGACGAAGTGTTTTCGAATAGATTTACCATAATGAAAAAATTAAATAACTGACGTCATGAAATAACTCCCCAAAAAAAGATGAAATCTCCCCAAATTTTGGTATTAGTATAGATTTCCTAAATATACGGCCTATGGCCGGGCGCAAGAATTTTCTAGTTTATGGTAGTCCAACAACGGTTTCGCTTAGTAAATATTTCCTAAACATATCAAGAGCGCCCGACCTAGCTCTTGATATGTGGATAGTGAATTCATACAAAAGCCGGTATTCGATATACCCCAAAAATATGTTTTAAGGATTTATTTATTTTTTTGAATTTGAGGAACTACTTCATAATTAAATAATTCACCATGAAAAATAGTACCCCAAATTTCGTTGTTGTTGCTTTCTGAACAATTTTTTGGGGTAGTATTTTATTTTTGTTTTGGGGAGTTATTTTGTGTGAAATTATTTTATGATGCCTAAATAACTTTCAGAATTTGGTGACTTATTTAATTTCCCAAATTTAAAATGAACAAAATACTGCATTTGGGTGAAGTAGCTCCTTAAAAAAGAAATTAAAATAAATTCTTTCGTAATATATATGAAACTAAATAAAATATTTTAGTATAATGCAAAATAATTTATATAATTTTCGAAAAAAAATTGTTTATTTTACCTTTTTTTTTAATTACGTAAATATGTTAGATCATTTAAAAAATAATATTGTAAATTAAAAAAAAAATGTGAATATAAAAAAACCAATTGTCTTATGTTTAACAGATATTTCAAAAATTAAATTACTTACTGCTATGATTTAAACCTCTTATATTTCAAAATATTATTTCCATCAAGATTAGGTCGATTTTATATATACACATATTTTTAGTTTAAAATAAATCAAAATTTAAATCATCAAATGTTCGCCTTCTAAAACTTAAGAAATAAGGCAGTTAATTTCCTGTCAGTTTAAAATTATGTTTAATTTAACTCGAAAATAACAAAAAAGTCGCAACAAAATAATTTTATTTTGTAAAATCAAAAATAATTCTTGTATATTACTAAATAATTTTGTAATGAAAAGAATTCGTTACTTTTGTTAAATATAGCAAAGTTTCTTAACACATACGAAAAAAGGTATTACGACAAGTAGGGTAGAAGGGGGATCAATCGCCATAGGGGCACATCTGCCAAAGCGAATAACTTGAAAACCGAGTAATCGATTTTATCGCATTATCAAATTTTGTTTTCGTCTATCATCCCTGAAAGTTTGAAAGATTAACTTTACATATGATGGGAGGCAGATGTGATTAATTGTTTTTCAAAGGGCTGTGAAAATATTTCATTGTGTGAATTTTTTGTGCTTTTTTAGTTTTTGTGATAGAAAAAATATATTGGTCAGTGATAGAACGTCAATAATAGTGAATAATAAGACATAATAATATTTTCGATAATATAATTTGAAGCCCGAAAAAAATTTAAACTAAACCCCAGAACTGCACGTGGGGCACATTCGCCAAATATATGTAATGCTTATGATGTAGAACAAAATTTGGTTAAGATATAGAAAAAAAATCAGTAATAATTTGTTTAATTTTTTTGTTAAGTTATGTGAAATAAACAATAAATATCTAGTTTATTATACTTTGTTTAGTGAATTAAAATATAAAACAGCAAAATAAGTTTTTATTTTTTAATTTTTTTGGCTTATTTTACTAATGACAAATCTGCCCATCCCCTTGGCATATTTACCCCATGGATGGGGCGGTATCGCCGTTTTTGGTCAGTGCGGAAAAGTTAAAAAAATATGTGCATGAGAATGACGTAGGAAAGATTGAAAGGGATAAGACTAAAGCCAACATATCTAAGTATCTGAACCAAGACAAAAATTAAGAATATGTATTGTGGTTTTAATTTGAGGCCGCCTCAAAAAAAAAGTGGCGTATGGTCCCCCTTCTACCCTACTTTCGTAAAATTAGAAAAGGGGTT